GCTATTTTTGTTCCATTTTACTGGTTTTTCTGTCGTTGAGTCCATTGTGAAAGTAAAATTCAACTCACTTCACTAGTAAGCAATTGAAAAAACAAACAAGAGAACCACATTGCGATCTAAACATATGAGTCTCCCTGTACGCAATAATGATTCATGATCAGAACAACGAAGGATTTATCTGCAAAAAATGGAAACCTAATGGATAAGAACCTATGAGCCTGTGAAGCAAAATATTACCTTTTAAATACCAAATTGTAGTCTAAGAACATATATTAATTGCTACAATAAACTTGGATATTTTTTGAATTGTTGCAAATGATAATAATTTGTTTATTCTTTAGAATGTAATTCCTGGAAAGTAAGTGAACAAGAGATGCTTGATAAAATAATTCTGAGAAATGAACATTTCTTGGTTTTCTTTCCCACGATTATCAACTTACGCACAATCGAATGTTTTCATTGCTTTCAAGCTCAGTTACACATTTTTTTTGCATTGTTAATATTCTAAGGATTCTTTTAGTTTAACTCCGTTGAGATTTTTCAGATAATCTGGAACTGTGAATAACTGGTGTTAAGTTAACTAGAATTTCCTGTTAAAAAACAATTAATCCTTTCATTCACATTTTCCAAGAAGTTTTATGTCACGATATTTGAAGAAATATTTTATCATATGATAATGGACTTCAATTATCATATTTTTATTTCGTGATACTTTGTTTGTACGACTACTATTACGAATTACAAGCACTTAACATTCTAAGTATTAACAATTACATTCGTTTTCAATTGATAATCAACAAAGGTCAATTGAATCTTTTTCATATATCAACTACAACACTTCAAAAATGTAAAACGAAGTGGAAAATAGAGGTGGTTTGGATGAGAGATTTTATAAGAACAGCTTACGTTCCAGACTTTTTCCAGAATTCACAATAGAAACTAACAATATTCTCTCGATTGACAGTCGAAGAATAAGGCTGTGCGGTTGAAACGCCTGAAAATGATACTGAAGAGTTGCTTCCAGAGTTCGACTTGTTTGGGTCTCTCGTGAGCGTGGAATGGAGGTGATGATGTGGGCTTGTTTTGGGGGCATTGAGTGCGGGACGGCAAGGCGTTGTCCTCCCAAGCATGAGAGCAACGAGGAACATCTCTGATCATTAAAGGCTCGGAGGCAGCATAATGTGGGCTGTAATGGCGGGGGTAGGCCTTCGGAGGCGGGGGGGGGGAGGCGAAGGAGGGCGGTTCGGCAGGGCCAGTGCCGTAACAAGGCCGAGGGCAGGGAGGCGGTAGGCGGAGCTCGAATTAATGACCAGCGGGTCAATCAGTGACGCGCGCTTCCTGAATGCCGCAAGGTCATGTTCATAATTAAACTCCCAATTGTTAACATGCCTTTGCAGGCCAGCCTTCATCCAGAGAATTTGCAACGCGGCTGTAAAGGAATCCCGCCCGCCAGGCCGGAATTCGGATTATCTGACCTAATACTGGCAACCGCATCAGTTTCAGCCCTTTGCACGAGACCGCGTGGCGCTCGCAACTGGGCCAAGTCCCAACAGGCGTGCCAACAGAACTTGCGGCCTCAAGCTTTAGTTAATCTCATTTTATATTAATGGGAGTGCTGAGTAACATTTTGGTTTCATTATTTATGGAGTTAATATGCATTTGTCATAAAGTAGGTACGTTCTTCACTGAGCAGGTTTGAAAATATGTGGAGTGAAAGTCAGAGGGTTAGGCCCCACTTGGGCAAGGTTTTAGCTCTGTACATTTGTCCCGTGATGAAGCATTTTCACACCAAATCACGTATTACGCGTGAGTCAGTAAACATTCCAACCAACTCATTATCATTCAACAATTTGGATTATTCTGATAATACAAATAGAGTATTGAGTTTAAATTCTTAACAATAAAAATGCGAGTTTTTTCAGGAACGTAAATTCGTTACGTTCGTTTTATTTTAATTATTCTATTGATTCAATTTTTGTGCCTTCCACGTAAATTTCAATTCACAAATTCCCCTACTTCATTTCCGTACACATAATTTCACTTCCATTTTTTTCACCCATATCAGACGTTTTAGAGAGCGAAATTTTCAACGACAATGAGATAACTTGTAGGTCATGTAAAAAAATACCTAAACATTGACATCATGAATCAATTCACAACCATTTAAGGGCAAGGAAGTGTGAGGAGTTTTTTGTCCAATGTACTAAGATCCATTCATGAAGCAATTGTTTCTTATCTGCTACACTACTTCCGACCTAACTTTATGCGCTTGAAGTGTGTACGTGATGTGCTTTAATCTATCAGTTATTATGTTTTGGTTCTGAAGGATAGATGTCACAACTCTCCGCTTTAGAACGGAAAGCGGGCCGATTGGTCTTAGATATGAAGACGAGCCCTCCAAAAATCCACCAATCCGAGAAAAAGTCCCTCGATTTCCTGGATCTTGATCCTCAAAATGTTTTCCTTCGACATCCCAAGACCTTGGGAACCTGGGAAAAAAGAAAAACCCGGGTGAAAAAAGCTAAAGGGCGCCACTGAGTCAATCTCTTTATAATTGTTTGACAGCTGTAATTTGGAAAAATCCCCAGGGGCAAGAATTAGAAAGGATCCGTGTAAATTAGAAAAGGAACAATCTAATGTGTTTTGTTCTTTCTTCCGTTGATTTTGAGTTATAATACTCCGTTAATTTAATTCTAAACAACTTTTTTTGAACACTGGTTACTAAATTACACGTTTTATAAGATTTATAATGTTTAATTTATTATA